CTGTTTCTTTTTCAACCTATGATCCCCTGGCTAGCCTCTCAGCTTCTTTGTTAATTTTACTTGCATTCTCTTTTTTTTTTTTTTTTTTTTTTTTGGGACAGGTGTATCTGAGGATGCAGTTTCAAGTCGTATACAATTGTTGATTATTGGAAACTGCTTGTTTTGCATGGAAACTGCTTGTTTTGCATGTGCACCTCCATTGGTATGTTCATCCATTAATCTGTTTTTGAATGATAGGTGGAAAAGCCTTGATCTAGAATGTGACCAAATGTTGTCCAATTTCTGCTGTGTCTACAGTCTACACATCTGTGCTTGAAAATGTTAATACCTATGTTAATATCTTCTATGACATAATTAGGAATGTTAAATGTACCTTTTTATTGCCTTAATAGGTTGTGGCATCTGGAGTAGATGAAAGAACACTAAAGCATGCGTTTGTGCTGCATCTTTACCCACTACAATGGTGAGAATTTTTTTCTTTCACAACTTCCTTGTATCTGAATTCTGAAATGCATATCTTTTATCTTGAATGATTTACTGGAGATTATGAGTACTTATATCTTAGCATATTTATGTATGATTTAATCATGTAATTACAGTAATATTCAATTGCCAATGTACTATTTGTATTTGTTGTGTACTCAATCATTTGTTTCCTTAATATCTCGTGATATTAAACTGATATTTCAGGGAGTTGTTGCTGGGCTTCTAGTTCAAAACACACTTAAGTTCTTGCTGAAATTTGGACATGTTTCTCCCTACTTGGTAAATCCTGCATTAAAACTGTGTGTGTGTATTGTACGTGTAATCCATCTCAAACTTAGGATCTTCACTGCAACTGCCTGGGGTGCTGAGATGGTTTTGCCCTGCATTATCTTAGTTTCTGATCTGTTACTTGATTCAGGGATGCAGTTCTCTTAAAGATTACTTCCCTACCATGGAAATGAAGCCAAAACCACAGTGTTCAAATGCTGCTTGTTTGGAGCGACAGGTAAAAGACAACAGATATAACTTATTTCACCAGTTTGTAATCTCTTAGAATATATGTATCGGTGAACTTGATTTCTCTTTTTATACAAAAGTGGATTCTTCTTTGCAGAAACAATATATTCTTGCAAAGCCAGTCCGGAAGCTGCAGCTAAAGCCAAGAGAGAAGCTGAAGCATCGGCAACTACACAAACTCCTCTTCATACTGATAATGAATGGAACATAAGGTATACATCATCATCATGACTCTGGAAGATAGACTGGTATAGTTTTTAAATCTTGTGACTTACATACCAAAATCTAGTATATTGTTTTAGGTATAGATATACCTAACTCTCAACCTTTTATGCAAGTTATATAAATTTCTGTTGACTGCATTTTATGA